GAGTCGCTAAAATTAACGTATCGGTGAGTGACGAGACTGCCACCTGCCTTCCTCTTTAACTCCACCCACAAAAGCATTGCACACGCCCCTCCCTCCCAAGTACCAAGCAACACGGACGTCCTTCCTCCACGCTCCACAGCACACGTGTTTGGTGCATAAAAGCTGTCTTAAATTGCGATTGGTGCTGTGTCACTGTGATGCAGAAGGGAGCAAGTTGAGTCCACCTCGACTGCCTAATGCTTTGAGAGATGAAGGTGTGGAGCGAAATTTTGGAGGGAGGAGGAGGAGGAGTCAGTTTTGCGTGAATAGAATCGAGACAGCATCTGTCTGCTTGTAGTGAGACGACAGGTCAAAGCCTCTTCACCCTCCCTCCAGCAGCACATCGCACGAGACCACCAGTTCAGACGGCACCTACTGGTGGGTTGTGGGAAGTTGAACTACTGGTTTGAGATGGTGTGGTCAATGGCGCTGTTTTCACCACTAGTCAATTATTGAGAGTGGGCAGGATGACACCTCATGAAGACGAGGTCATGTGAATTGTAAAGTAGATTGCCTCTACAGCTGCTACCACCACAACCAATGAAGGTCTGACTCGTCACACATTGTTGTCTCAATCTCGCTATGTGGGATGCCTAAATGCCGCCAATCCGCATGCCTGATGACCTCCTTCAAATGCGAGGATGGCGGCACTGAGGTGGTGCACACACGGTGGGCATGCAAGTGCATCGAATCTCACGGGTAGCTGAGGCTAAAGCTTGCCCGTCAGTGGTTTTGCAAGTGCTAAACACAGCCAAGCAGGTCTTGACGGAAGGTGGCATGAAGAGAGCACATGGAAATGTGGAAATGAGGGAACGTTTTGCCACCTGAATACGCTCCAAACTCGAGGAGAGGAGGAGGAGGAGGAGGAGGGGAGACGATATGGAGCACGTCATTGCCAAAACAATCTTCTGCCAAAGCTAGAACCATCTTTCGGTTTGCCTTTGCTGCTGCACCAACAGTAGTCAAACTTCACATCTCTCTCGCATCTACAAGCACCGCTTGGCAACAAACGTACTACCTACAACATCCTGGCCTGGTTAATGGCCTGAAAAGTCACGGTCCAGGGCGCATTTTAATTAACAAAAAATTGCGCCACGAGCCAACCAAGGCGAACAAGAGCCAGTCAGTGCTGCATTATTCACCTCCAACCGAAAGGGAGAAGAGGAGTGAGGGGATGTTGTAGTAGTAGTTGCTGTTGTTGAAGAACTAAAATTTATGCAACATGGCCAACCACGAAGGAGAGTGGAGCGACACGGTGGAGTGAATGTGTCCCTGACGAGGCAGGAAATGACCACCTCAATGCTCACTTTTACTGCTGCTACGCAAGCGATTTACGGTTTAGCAGTAAACGGTTGCACTTCCTGCCTGACAGTGTAAACTGTTGGCCCCACGCGTCTGCAATTGGCTGTTCGAAGCGGACATCGTCCCTCCATCTCGACGGCACCACTCTACCACCAATGCCAACAGCCTCCTAATCCCTCTTCCTTGGTAACTCACCTTGACTCATTGACTGTCCTTTCGAACGTGACGACATCTCAACGCAACAGGTTTGACTTCCCAGTAGGTGAAGGGGTGGATGTGAGAGGGTGGAGGCCTATGGTGACGCCAGTAACCTCCAACCGTCAGTTGTGTTGTCTACCGACTTCTCTCGTTAATAACAAAACAATGAAACGTCTCTGTGTGGATGAGACCTAACGGGAGTGATGGCGTTGGTTGCATTGCCTGAAGCACCACTCACTATGGAAATAGTGGAGGAGGTGATGGAAGCGTGGCACTCCTCACATCATGAAAGGATGTGTGCAGGAGAAAAGCCATTTCACAAGTAACTGCCAAGGTTGCATTCATGCCAAACCACCACTCTTTGTTCCACCAGCACGGCATGACCGTGTCGACTTCCCGCGTTCCATTCGACATGACAGTGGAAGGTGGAACACCGTCAGCACCATCGGAGCAGTGGTAGAGACACCAAGGAGAACCTCATCGTGCTTTGTGTGATTTCATCATCTTAACTGTGATGCTTTCTTTCATCCCTCAACTGTGTGTCTGTGGAGTGATGATAGTGTTGTTGAAGTTGAGGAGAGGACAAGAGAGACGCGCATTTGCATCAAGCCTCCCATCAAGCTTGCGACCGACGGATTTCGCGATCAGAAGTCAAGGCCAATTCAGCTGTGCGGAGATGGCAAGGGAGGGATTGCACACCTCGTGACCGTTGTGCCGTGTGGAGGAGGTGAAGCTGGTGTGAATGCGTTGGGCTGTGCCGTGGGTTAAATATGCACCGTTGTCAAAGCGTTTGGTGGTTCAGACCCACACTTCAACGGCATAATGAAGTCGAATACTAAAAACATTCCCTCTCCCTCACTCCCTCCCTTCCTTCCTTATTCTATAGTGGTTTAAGAAAGTCTGAATGAATTGCTGTTAATCAGCAGAAGTTTGCGCTTCTAGGTTAAGCTACAAAATTAAAAGACACGGCTCCTGGTGGCACTCGTTTGCAATCGACTGTGGAAGGGCGGACGTCGTCCCTGCCGCCTCATGGAGCCGACCTTACAGCAATCTTCGAGGGCGCGTCCAAACCTGATAGCCCTCTCGCTTTGTGTTCGTTC